CCATTTCACCATCTGTGTGCAACTTTCAACTTGAGTCTGCTACCTTTAGCTTATATATGCTAACTTTAGCTTTTTACTGCTATATTAGCTAAAATTTTACTTATTTCTGCAATTCTGTGTTTTTCTGCTTTGTTATACATATTTCTGCTAATTTATGCTGTTTATGCTTCTTTTGTATTCTGCTATGTTCAGCTWTTTCAGCCTTTAGCTTTTAGCTTTTATGCTAATTCAGCCATATTTTTGCTCCTTTTAACTGTTTTTCTGCCTTTTTTTTGCTTCTTTCAACTTTTCATGTTTAACAACACGTTCAGCTCAATTTCAGCTTCTTCAGCAGCTTTCATCTAAAGTTTTCAGCTACAAGCATTCACACTAGCTTTTTCACAGGAAATGCAATTTCTCTAGTTCATTTTGATTTTCTTAGCTTTTGGCTGGCCTTTTGCTACTTTATATATTTTAGCTAGTATCCTGCTAGTTTTAGCTTCTCTCTACCAGTTAGGCCTTTGCAACTTGCAGCTTGTGATTACATTTTTGCCCACCTTTAGCTAGTCCTTTGCTACTCTATTACTTTTAGCTAGTATCATGCTGCTTTCAAACACATTTTGTTACTTTTAAGTTGTAGCCAGTAATTTAAAACTTTTAGCTTTTGATGTTTTTAGCTGTCTTTTTGATACTTTAGGGTTTAGCTAGACTTTTGCCTCATTCATCATTTAGCTTTTTGCTACTTTTAGCCTTTAGCTACTATCCTGCTGATTTCAGCTGCATTTAACTACTTTTAAGTTTTAGCCATTAATTTATAGGGCTGTGTATTGGCAAGAATTTGGCGATACAATACATATCATGACAGAGGGGTCATGATACGATATATCCTGAAATATTGCGATACTGTAAGCAAGGCGATATATTGCGGGGGGTTTTTTGTCCAAAAATTCTATTAAATACCTGCCTTCTGTAACGTTGGAAAAAAGAGTACACAACACACTTAATTTGTCTTAAAATACAGACATTCTGACAAATAAGTAACTGTTTGTAACCTTACCTCAGCTTAGAAGGCAGAGGGTGTCGGTCTTTTCCGCTCAGATTCAGCTATCGGAGCATGAAGCTAATGTTTACTTACAATACCAATGCTAACCTTGCTCTCTGGCGCTCAAGAGGTAGAGGAGCCAAATGGCTGGCTCACTGCTGCCAACTAGTGGTCAGAGGCTGAACTACAACATAAAAATGAACGGCTGGCAGGAAAGTTGACATTTTAAACCTTAATAAAAAAATCGATACAGGGCTTTAGAATATCGATACAGTATCGAGAAATGAAGCATCACGATATTTCAGTGTATCAATATTTTCTTACACCCCTAGTAATTTAAAGCTTTCAGCTTTTGATGATTTTAGCTAATCTTTTACCTCATTTAGCAAATTTTTGCTGCTTTGAATAGCTTTTTCCTACATTTAGCTTTTAGCTACTGTCTTTTGCTTCATTCAGCCTTGAGCAAATTCTTTGCTGCTTTTAGTAGCCTTTCACTACTTTTAGTAGCTTGCTGCTTAAAGCTGCATTTAGCCACTTGTAGCTTTTAGCCAGTAATTGACAACTTCCAGATTTTGACGCCTTTAGCTGTCTTTTTGCTACTTTTGACTCACTTTTGTTACTATTAGCTATTGCTTAGTTGCTTTAAGGTTTTAGCCTGCCTATCCTGCTAATTAATCAGCTATGTTTGACTTCTATGTACCATTTTTCTACTTTTGGGTTTTAGCAGTGTTCTGCTTCTTTTAGCWTTACAACTCAGATTCAGGATCTTTGGTAATGTTCAGGAATTGCTCAGCATTCATACTTCTTTTTCTGAGAAAATAATTTTTTTCTGTTGTTTTTTTTCTATATTTTGTTTCTGAAAACCTGACATTTAAAAGAAACCTTGAGTCCTGTTCTGCGCTGGCTTCAGTCGTGTAGAACCGGGCAGGTTGACTGTAGAAACAACCCCGAGCCTGGGGGGGAGTTCTTCCTTTGCTTTTGTGTTAATTAAGTCTTAACAATAAACTTAAGCAGGATCACAGATTAGATAGCGTGCGCCTGTGATTGGATTGAGCGTCAGTGTGTTAATATTCATGTTTTTGTCTGCATCATGGATTAATTTCCTGAGGCCCATTATAAACTAAAACAATGTTATCTGTTTCATATCAGCAGTGGGTTTTTCAGGGTTTGTTTGTGTTAACACAGATTGTACAAGTAGATTAAGATGCAATAATCTGTATCTGAACTAGACATCTTTAATGCATTATTCACTGACTGATTGATTTTTTTCTAAAAATGTATTAATAAGGATATTCACCTAATTTAATCAAAATCAATCTTTGTTTTGCATCATTTTTTTACCAACAAGCCGGACAACAAACTAACTTTAACAAATGCTAAAACTGTTTTTTTTATTAATTCAACGTTGCACAGTTTCGTCCCTCAAAAAGCTTCCAAGTAAAAGTTTACATCCAGTGTGTTGAAATGTACTTAAAAGTGAGTAATTCAGTCCAAAGTGTCACAGTGATTTGTCATCAGTTTTATGCTCCTACGCTGAGACAGGCCTGGAATCGTGCCTAATCACTAATACTCAAAGCCAAACAGCAATATCTCTCGTGCACTGCACTTCCCAGCTGTGCAGAATGAGTCTTAGTCCGCCCCAAATGCACCGTGACACAACGAGAGACCACTCTGGAGCACTGGAGCCAACATTTTTAAAAGCAATGTTTTCTGTTGCAACAGACTGCAGCACTTTAAATTGTATTTGCAATAACTTTTGCATCTGAAATGTATCTCTTGTCAACCTTCCATCATTACTCTGTAGCACCTGTCTCTTTAAGATCATCCCACCCATATGGCCCGCACATGGGGGGTGCAAGCAGTTTTGCAGCTTGGCTGATCTCTTTCAAATAATCAAATCATGGCTGTGTCACACCAAACGTTTGTTTTGAAACGTTGATGAATGTCTGATTGTCCAACAACTTGATGCTTGAAGTTAAAATAGCTGCTTAAAYCACATTTTTGCAACAGTCTGGATTATATGCAACATTATTGGGGAATATCGTGATGAAATCAGTTGCAACTAGAGAAATTGCTTTTTCTGTTCAAATTCATTGTGAATTCTGACTATTATTGAGTG